GATCTCTGAAGGGCAGGGAGTGTACCTGTGTAGAGCGCCTAGAGCAGTGGTTCCCAAACTTTAACAACCTGTGAACCCCTTTCACTAAAATGTCAAGTCTCACGAGCCCCCCTCCTAAAAATGAATATTTCCAGGATTTTCTCCTTCACCTTAGTATAAATTATAAAGGCAGTGATCTTGGAAATATAAAATTTGTTTTTATGACATGCTTATTACACACTATTATTAATTATTGATCATTACAGTATTTTTATTACATTATGAAAACGGCAACACTCTTCCAAGATGTCACTTCCGTAGCTTGTATCAGTTTCAATAAGCTTGTTATAAGACAAGGGTCCTATGTTTCATCAGATGTGAAACAGCAGGAAGGTATTTAAGGAGCCAATTCAAAGAGCTCCTCCTCCACAGGCATTCAGGGCTTGAGCAGTCCAGGCAAACAACGCACGTTACAACAAAGCTTAAACTTGTTCTTCGTAATCATTTAAAAAACAATACTAGCTGCCTATTTAATTTTAAAAACAGCAAAAAATATCCATCTCCCTTTCCATTTCTTATAAGGAGTCTTGAAGTTTAAATCTCCTCCGTGTGATAGATAGGCTTGCTTTGATTTGCTTAGCTCTTGGAAGTCAGGGGCTCCGGGCTGCTGGCCCTTATGCTGCTCAGAGACCCTAGGGACGCCATTAGGGAATTTTTTCCTGAGAACCTCCTGTAACATTTCATGAACCCCCAGGGGTTCACGAACCCCAGTTTGGGAACCACTGGCCTAAAGCAATAATTAATTGGTGTAGGTTCACTATGACCCTCACATCCTAGTGTCTGTAGGCAGGGCCGGTGCAAGGATATTTTGCGCCCTAGGCAAAACTTCCACCTTGCGCCTCCCCCCGGTAACATCGGTTCATTGAGGGGCAAATCCCAACGAGCTTTTATAGACCCCAGGGGCCAGCCATGCCCAGGGGCTGCTCCTCAGACCAGGTTCCCGCCCCCTGAACTCCCCTGGAGGGTGCACAGCCCCCCTCCCCGTGAGCCCTCCCCAACCTGCCCTGAGTCTACTCACTGGCTTTGCCGGGCTTGGGCTGCTGCAGCAGCTCAGCAGGGAGGAGCTGCCTTCTGGGGGCTCCTGCAGCAGATGCATGTGGGCAGAGGCCCCTGTGCACACACCCCCCCCCCGGCTCCCCCATCACCGCACTTGGGCTCTACGGCTCCCGGGAGTGTGAGCCTCCGCTGCCCCTCCCCCTCCCGGAGCAGTCTCAGGGCCCCGCGCCCCGGCAGTGGCTCACGTGCCCAGGAGCCGCAGAGCCCAAGGGGGGCCCTGGGGGGGGGCACGGGGGCCTCTGCCCGCATGCATCTGCTGCAGTCTGAAGGGGCCCCCCGGGGGGGCGCCAGGCCACAGGATGGGCAGGGGGCCGCAGCTGCTCCCCGCTAGCGGCGCTGCCACCTTTGCAGGGCTCCTGCCCCCCTGCGCTGCACCGGCTGCTCCATGGCTGGGGCTCATCGCCCCCGCAAGCCCTATGCAGTATTATTAAACTGGTGCCCCTATGCCCGACGGCAGCCTGAGCTTGCAGCCCAGCGGGGGCGGAGGGACAAGGCAGAAAGAACAAGAAGACACCTGGCCCGCCTCACGGTGGCGGAGAGTCACAGTTCTCCACAGAGACCCCTGTACCCTCTCCCTCACGCAGAATGGACATGCAGAAGGTACCTAATTAAAAGCACTAAACTTGGGAATAAAAAAATGTCAGTCGCAGGTTTTTTGATATGCCCTGAGGTTTGTCAGACATTTATTTGCAAAAACTTTGTAGTAAGGGTGAGTCAGCTGTCTTGCTGAATACAACATTAAATATTATGGAATACATGATGCAGCTCTTCTCTGTTTTACATTTTCTTAATCAGCATTTCTAAGCTGATTTTATATTTTAAATGTACTCTTAAGCCTTCATAAAGTAATCATTCCAGATTACTACATATTTAACTCACTGAAACAGACATTATTTTAAATTAATAAGTCACAGAGGTTTAGTGTGTTCATAACAATGTTCATTGCTTTTAGAAAAAGGGAACACTAATTTACTGTGTGTGATCTCCATAACAATACACATGTTTATGAAATTTCACCAACTTTAAAAAATATGTTTCCAAAAATTTTAGGCATAAAAAGGATTTTATATCTTACTAAGGTACTGATTTTGCTGAAAACTAGTTAATCAGATAGTCAGAAGTAAAGAAAGAGAAACTCTGTCCAGCTATCTGGAAGCAAAGGGCTGTTGCTTCCTTCAATGATGGGGGGAGGGGGAAGAGGGGCTGAAGGGAGAAATGGATGGACAGAAAGCAGGGCCGGCTCCAGGCACCAGCCCACCAAGCTTGTGCTTGGGGTGGCACCTGGAGGGGGGCGGCGCAGCGCTCCGGCCCCCGGGGAGAGCGGGGCCACAGCCGGGCTCGCCGCCCTCTCGCTGCCCTGCCCCCTGCGCTCTGGCCGCCGGGGGGAGAGCCGAGCCCCAGCCGGGGCTCGCCGCCCTTCTCCCAGGGCTCCGGCCGCCGGGGGGAGAGCGGAGCCCCCGCTGGGGCTCGCCGCCCTCCCCCCCCCCCCCCGGCGTCCCCCCCCTGGCCGCCGGGGGGGGCGCGGAGCCTGGTTCGCTAGTGCTTGCACCGGCCCTGTCTGTAGGGGCCACCTCTCCTGTTCACCAGCTTTTTTTTCCCCCAGACCCACCCATTGTGCTAGGTCAGGGGTGGCCAACGTGAGCCCGAGAAGGAGACAGAATTTACCAATGTACATTGCCAAAGAGCCATGGTAATACATCAGCAGCCCTCCATCAGCTCCCCCTGCTCCCTCCCTCCCCCGCTCCCAGTGCCTCCCACCCACCTGCAGCCCTGCCGATCAGCTGTTTCATGGCATGCAGGAGGCTCTGGGATGGCATGGCAGGCTCAGGGGAGGGGGTGATTGGGGGCAGGGCCTGTGGCAGAGCCCAAGGGTTGAGCAGTGAGCACCTCCCCGCCCCCGGCACACTGGAAAGTTGGCGCCTGTAGCACCAGTCCCAGAGTCGGTGCCTATACAAGGAGCCGCATATTAACTTCTGAAGAGCCACCTGTGGCTCCATAGCCACATGTTGGCCACCCCTGTGCTAGGTGCTATGCAAACAAATAAATAAAATAAAACCTGCCTCGGCCCCAGAATGCTTAGAATAATTCATACCTAGAATACAGTATGCCAGCTTACAAAATATTTATTTAAAATCAATATGAATATTTTTCTTTGTTTCTTTGTCTTCCTTCAATCACACCCGGTTTTGCTTATAGCATTACCTCATAGCAGTCCAAATGCTGGAGTGATGAAGCCCAGAGAGGAATAACAAGGATATATAAAAGAATAAGAAGTGGAAAGCCAAAAGAGCAATATACCATTTAAATGTTCAATATATTGGCCCTGATTCAGCAAAGGACTTAAGCACGTGTGCTTAAGGGATTACTCGTGTGCTTAAGTGCTTTCCTGAATTGGGGCCAAAGTGATTTAGGCTCAGATTATTCCACCTATATGTTTGCTGAATAGTACCTTACTGGACAAGAATACTCTTGGGGAAATTCTGTGTCCCCAAATTAAAAATTCTGACCAAAAATTAAAAATTCTGCACACAATATTTTACAATTCTGCAAAATTTACAAATTTTGTCAAAATAACCCTACATAATCACAGCAGTTTCAATTATTTGGGTAATTTATTTCAAAATACCTGTCAGCAAGTATGTCTGTAACAATACAAACACACAAAATTTTCCCCAGGAGTAGAGAGTTAAAGAAACCCCTACAACAACCCAGTTCCTGCGTCTCTGCCCCCTCCTTCCCAGAGCCCAGCTGTGAGGGCCCCTCCTTGCCCAGATACCTGTACCCCAGACATGTCAAACCCGTGGAAAAAATGCAGAAATTGGGCTTGTTTTTGGCTTAATTGGCTTGTGAGTTGCTTATTGGCTAGTTTTTGGCTTGTAGCTTGTTGCTTCTTTTTTTTTGATCAGCTCCCAGCAAGCAGGGTCAAGGTGGGGAGAGAGTCAGGGGTGCACAGCGGGATCACCACAGTCCCAGACTGCAATCCGGGGGGGGATCTAGTACATAGAGGGTTAGGGTTTGGCTTGTTTGGGCCTTGTTTTGAAATGGGATTAGCTTGATTTTTTACTTATTGTGAAAGTCGGGGTGCTTATTTACCATGTGAAAATTGGCAACTGTGCTTGGGGGCTGAGAGGCAATGGCTTGAAAGTCCTCAAAGTCCTGGGATGGCCTTGCCCGGCAAGCTGAGGGGCTGGTGGCCAAGTTACAGTCAGTCATCTCCCAGTGTTCCCCAGGTTCTCCCAGTTTGACAAAAGGGAAGGGAAGAATAGGGGGACCCAGGCTCTCTCTTTCCAGCAGGTCCTGGCTCAGGGCCCAAAGGGGAAAGGGTGAAGTGTGTCTCAGTTCCTTCTTGCAGGTACACTAGACCAGCCTCCCCTGTTCTCTCTTCGGTTTGGGGCATGGTCTCACACTGCTTTCATCCCAGCAGAGGGTTGCTCAAACAGCCTCAACAATTCAGATAGTCATTTGGGACTTCCCAGCTTGCTTTTTAGTGTCCAGTTATTCCCCCTCGTCAGGGAAAAGAGGAGAGAAAAGCAGTCAGTACCCTGGTCTCCCAGTCAGGTCTTACCCACACTAGTCTTACCCATAGTCCACCCTACCCCTATGGATCCTCTGTCCCAGAAGCTATTGCTATAAACTGGCTTGTTTGTTTCCTTCCTGCAAACAGCCTCTCTACTCTCTCCCTCCCCCTGATTGTCAATGTCCCTTTTTAAACAGGTCCTCCATTGGAAGCATGATTTGCAGCTGTGGAGGAGCAGGGCCTTCTTGTTCCAGTACTGCTCCATCATTCCCTTGACGTGGGGTCTGTAAACCCCATCATAAGGCAAAATAATACGCATACATTTTAGTTAAATAGAATTGTATTAATTTTACATTAGATAATGTATTTCACAGTAACAGCATTTCTTCACAAGTTGGGAAAAATCATATTCCTGACAAAACAAGTTTGTACGCTTGTCTTGTTTTCAAAAAGATTTAAAGTTAGAAAATATCTAGCATTGATTCGTCCACTTTTTTATATAGAGCAGGAATAACTAATAGTTATAGGAAATGTGGCCGGCTTGGATTTCTATTAAAAATGGATCCATACAGCTTTCAAAATTCATTATCTTCTTCCTTTAATAATCTTCAGCATCACCAGCACAGATGGCAAGTAAAGCTGTCTCGTAATGTCCTGAAGCAAAATGCTGCAAGGGAAAGAATCTTTTTGTGATGATAATTTTTCCTCTCGCCCGGCCAAGAAAACCATTTTTTGCATTAGGGACTGGAGGACATTTGAGAAGTTGTGGGTTTTGCCCAAGACTTTTAATGCTTCATAAAGATTCTAGACCAAGATTTTCAAAAGTGATTAGTAATTTTGGATCTCTCATTTTTGAGGGGGGGGGGAGGGGCAACCTGATACACCTACAAGGTCTGATTTTCAGAAGGTGGCTGCTCAGCTCTTTCTGAAAATCAGGTCCTTTTAATGTATCTCAAATTGGGCACAGAAAATTCATTGATCAGTTTTGAAAATCTTGGCCCTAGATATTTTCTGATAAAACATAAAAAAACATCATAAAAACATTGGAAAGGTTTTTACTGTACTGAATCATTTTACAAGAATTTAACAATACAGTTCATGCTTGTCTGGAGATATGGGACTGACAGTACAAGAAAAATATATCCTTATGATGGTTGCTATGTAAAAAAACCCAACACACTCAGTAGGACAGATTTTGATTTCTCTTACACTGATGTAAAGCCAGAGTATCTCCACTGACTCCCATGAATTGAAGTCAGTGGAGATACTCTGGATCTACATCACTGTAAATCAAATAAAAATCTGGGCGATCATGTTTCCAAGAAAATAACTCAAAATAAAAGACCAGATCCTGCAGACACAGAACCTGCTATGCTTTTATTGAGGTTAATGACAAAACTTCAGTGGGACTGGCATCAGATTCATTTGAAATGTTTATTATAATTTTTCCCAGTAGTATGAGTACCAGTAATGCAGGATTTTGTTGGTTTATAGGGGAAACAGATGCACTAGGAAGTGAAAATCTAGCTCTATAACAATAAGTTTATAAGGTTAAAGATGGAAACAAGTTCATGCTGATCAAGGACAAACTGATTGCAGGATCAGCTTTAATTAGATGAATAAAAGAGTGCTAAATGAAAGAGAGGCCTTGGGGGTGGTGAAGCACTGTTTTAGGGTGGATGTGATGAGGCTAAATAATAAACATACATTTAAAATGCTCCTAAGTAGTGCATGGTGCTGGTACTGTGCTTCACGGTGGATGTGCCAAGGACACCTGACTATTTTAAGCCAAGATTAGTTTTGCCACATGATTAACAAAAGAAGCATAGCACAGGCAAGGGAACTGCAAAGGTCATTTTACATCACTTCAGTAAGCTTAAATGACCACCTATGGGTTGCTCCACAGCCCAGAATATCCAGAGAAGAGGGTGCTCTGGCCATACCACCTCCCTCTCCAAATTGACTCTGGGCACAACCTCACATCAGGGGGTTATGCAGGAAGACCACGGAGCTGCTCCACACATTCTACACCAGTAGGGGAACACCTTTTTGCAAAGTATTTCCCCAGCAAGCAGTTCTGTCCCGGGGGCGGGACAGAATCCGGCCTATAATATGGAAGTGTGATTAGAATTTAGTGGGAAATATTATCTTTATTGTTCACTTACTGAAAGTAGTCAGAGGCACTGAACTGATATAACATGAGTTCAGGAAGCATATTGTTACTTCTGCCTTTGCATCAAATGATTAGATTAGGATTCAGAATTAACTCAACATTTGCTATTGTTAAAGCTCTCATATGGATATATGAAACACTGCTATTGAACTAGGTACTGTATACATGCAAAAGTATAGAGTGACTTACTTTGATATCATGAAACAGAGATTTCCCATATCTCTCTTTGTATCGTCGTCTTATATTCATCAGATCTATTTCACTTCTGGCAATCAAAATCCTGATAACAGTTTTATTATGGAAACCATACTCCTAAAAGACGAGAAAGATATGAGGAAACTTGGATGAGTCTATCTATCTGAATATATTAATATTATGTGCAAATGAGTAAATTGATTAGCTCAGAGGTAGTTTCAGCATGTCAGGTGACAGTCCCAAGGGGGTCTCTGTGACTGAACCCGTCACAATAATATCTTTTATTGGACCAATTTCTGTTGGTGAGAGAGACAAGCTTTCAAGCTTAGACAGTGCTCTTCTTCTGGAGGAATCGTGACATCTAGTGGACAGTAACATTAATTCAAACAATTTTGAAGGTTGCAGTGGAAATATTTACTTATTAAAAATGTTGGCCTATTTAAAGATGGCAGGTTGAATTTATCAATTAGCTATTCACACTACCAGAATAAAGTAGCAAGGGATACTCAGAAAGCTGCATTTACAGGATTTGATTCTTATTTGGTGGGTGCACTAAAATCTTTCTAACAACCCATTAGGGATTTTACGAAAATCATAGTTCTAAATATTAGAAGCTTTCTTAACAGACTGATGCTAATCATGCAATATTCTAAATAGAAATCTGACAAAAGTTTGACAAAATCTGATTGACTAATGCACTGTGGAATGGAATATTCTTTAAAACGCCTACTATCAGCAGCATACCATATCACTAAGCATTGCATTGACATAAATCACTAGATACTAGGAGGAAACTGAGAAATTTACTTAATTTTTTTAAAAAAATTTCTGCAATTTTATTTAATGTATTTTCTCAAAAATCTATTTTGCTTATGAAAATAAGAAATAATTACAAAATGCCACATTTCACTCAAAAATGATCCTGGTTTAGCACAACAATTTTGTGAAAATGAAATCAATTTTGAATTTGAAAAAATATGAAAATGCTCAGATTCAGAATATTTTCAATTTTGTCATGAATACTTTACATAAATTTACATCAGCAGCACACAATACGAAGAAAAACACATTCATGGTATTTTTATCCCTATGCAGTATTTGTGGATACTTCTGAGTGCATATGCATATACCTACATTTGTACCCAATGTTAATTTTTTTAAGCTAATGTGCATAAAAATACTAGGATTTGCACATGTAAATGGAGTCCCATTGAAAATATGGCGATTAGTATTTTCACACACTATTTCTATTATGCCATTCATAGTGATATTTATTAAAGCTGTACAGCGGGAAGTCACATAATAAGAATAGATCATATCGAATAAAACGTGCACTTTGAGTTTTGCCCATCAGGGGGAGATGCAGTCCATACAAAATGATGGTTTTCAGTTTTCAAAAAGTCAATGCAGTTACCGGACAAGTAGTGTTGGAAGAAAACTCATCTGTTGTTCAAGCACTATGGCTTTGAACATTACCAAAATTTTTAAAACAAGCAAGCAACACTTTAAAAGTGGAAGCTATTAAAACCCCAACCCTTTTAAAGCAAATGAGCTAAATCATTCAAAATAGAGACAGGAAAGCTGTTCTTTAAAATATGTGAAAGAATAGTGCTACTTACATGGATTGCATTGTAAAGCCTATATGCAAAATAGGAAGGTTTATCTCGAACACAGAGAACTAGGAGAGATATGTTATGGAGAAAAGGAGAAACATTAATTTCAGAAACCTGCATCAACAGTGTGTTTATGTGATCTTGTGGGTGCTTATTGGGTTGAACTGAAACAAGTTGATGCCAGTTGATAGAAACTTTCTCACATTGCACAGTTCATGGCTGTGGGTCAGACTGCCCCTTCTATCTTAGAAAAAACCTGGGGTGCTCCTCAAGAAGTTTTCCTAACAATACTCATTCAGTGGGAGGCGACAGAATTTTCAATCCTATGGAATTGCCCGTTGAAGCTGCAGATTATAAAGTTCTAATCTCAGGCCACCTGCAAGAAGCCTCTCTTTTTCTGTACTGGCTGTGGGCCTTCCCCCCAGCAGGCAGGGCAACTTTACCTGTGACTCATCTTAAAGATGCTGGTAGTTTAAGTATATGGTATTTTTCAGTCATAATACTCTGCTATTTATTTATAGTTTTTTTTATGGTGTTCATCACCATACTATATAAGTGCCTCACAAACTTAATGAATTTAGCCACATGACATCTTTGTGAGGTAGGGAAGTATTATTATTGTAATGGGCGATGTGTGAACCCCCCTTCGGGAAACCTAGCCCTCTACCCCTTCCATTCCGCTTGAGGCCCTGCCCCCACTCCATCCCCCCGCTCTCCATCCCTCGGCCAGAGCCAGAGGAGCCCCAAACCCCCCACCGCAGCCAGATGGATCCTGGCTGGCCCACCCGAGCTGCCCTGAACTGCAGCCTGAATGCCCGAGCCATCTCCAGCCCAGCCGCCTGAACTGCCCCAAGTCCTGGCCGCCTGGAGGAGCTCTGAGCCCTGCCATGGCCTGGCCCCAGGGCCGTGGTGGGGAGCATTAACAGAGGTTTGGGGAAGCTTAGCATCCTCCAGCCTCCATTACGCATTGCCCATGATTACCATCATTTTACAGATGGGGAAACTGAGGCACAGAAAATTTAGGAGCTTGATCCTACACCACTGAAGACATGCAGTTTTGCCATTTGTTTCAGTATGAGCAGGATTAGTGCCTAATGGACTTGCCCATGGTCACACAGGAAGTTTGTAGCAAAAACAGAAGCAGAATCCAGTTCTCCTCAGCCCTAATCCAGTGACCACATTTTAGTTTTTAGCCTCAACCTCTGATGCAATTTAAATGCCCGTTCTTCTATATACCCGTAGATTGTTGGTTGATTTTCTTCCAAATGTTCAAAGTTTCTACACCATATATGAAAATTAACTAGTGGGGAAAATAGCACAAAAAGCTTATATTTGCATCTTTTAATGGACCAGATATACTATACTATATAATTATTAAGACATTATTACCAGTGTAAAATAATCTTTTTATTTTACCTATTGCTACCAGCAGTTCTTGAAAGTATCCATCGTAACATTCATTAATAGCATCTACTATATCTTGCCCAGAGATGTTTTGGAACTCCTGAAAAACTTGAAAGAAATGAATACATGTTTATTTATATTCTGTATTAAGAGTAGAAACTAGCCCCAGCAATTTTATTGCTGTTTACTTTTGAGATGTCTATTACCTCAAGGTAAAACTTAATCTAAAATAAGAGATTGGTACAGATTCTCAACCCAATACTCAGAGCAAAGCAGCTGGAAAGCTGCCCTAAAAGGGCAGCTGGCAATTTCTTGGCATGGGGTGAGGGGTAGAGAATAGCATAGCCAGGTCTATGCTAACACCTGCCCCCATCCCCCATGAGGTGGATTGGGGTTAGGAGTATGTTCCTGCTTATCCTTGTTGATGTAATAACCTCCAGGAGAGCATTACAAGCTGAAGTAAATTAGTCCACCCTTTATGCTATAGAGCTGTCTGGAGAATGACAATTCCATTTTGAGATTTGTTTGCATTCCACACTGGAACAAAACCAAAACGTTTTGAACATTTTCTCAAAATGCTGTTGTGTCTAAATGTCCATTTTTGGACTGAAAAGGTCAGGTTTTCGATTCATCTCACTCTCTCGCTACACATGAGCAACTGAGGAGTCTGCACGGACCTCAGAAGCCTTCCCATAGAAAATGTCAACATTGACATGTTTCTGCAAAATGTATCAGCTTTGATGGAACACCATGTTTTGACAAAAATATGTTTAATTAAAACTGTTCCAACCAGCTCTATTAAGCAGCTGTTACTTGTTGGGTTGGGGTTTTTTGGGGGGGAGGAGGGCAGTATTTGCCCCTGTCTGCCCCCCAAGACTGGGAAAAGTGGAAAGGTGGCTTCAGTGCACTTTTGACTCCCTCCCACCAGATGAATTGAGTGTGAGCTCCAAGGTTGCGGGAACAATTTTTATAGTGGGGGTGCTGACCATGGAAACCACGTATTTGGTGTTTGTTATTACTACTTCAAGCCAGGGGGTGCGGCAGCGCCCCCAGCACCTCTAGTTCCAGCACCACTGGTGAGGACAGTGCAGCTGAAGACTGAGCCCATCACCTTAATTGTCATCTTTATGATGCATTTTTTTCACTATCTATTCTATGCTGGGTTCAGCTTTGTAGTCCTTGTACACCCAAAACTTCCATTAACTTCAGTTGGAGTTTTGGGAGCACAAAGAATGTAGGCTCAGGCTCCTGTTTCAGACTGCACTGGAACCTGAATATTGGTTTGTGAATTCAGCTTCTGTGTGCATAGTTAAAATTATGCCTGTTTTCTCTGTAAGCTATATTTTCCCTTTCCGTTATACATTCAAATACTGAGTAGTTGGATTCATAAGTGATGATAATTACCCATCCACAACTGCTGGTAACTCTTGTTGCACAGGATCATTTGCATCATGTTTTTGTGTTCCCCTGTTTTCTGCTGACATGCTTCCCATAGGACCTAAGACATTAAAATAATAACAAGGTGCAAAAGATCATCAGTTCCAAACCCCTTTAAACAAGACTTTCAAACAGCTACATTTTTGTTTTCTGTTATTTTTGAGAAACTGACAGGTGATTGTAGTTACCATTGCATCCTGAGCAGCCATAGCAGGATCTGCATACCCTTCCTCCCGGGTTCCCTGTAAAATGTTAAAACATTTTCCTCTATTAGTTCTTCTAAAATGACTGCAAGAGAATGAGATGGTCTTTATATAATACTACTTCTCATTCACTGAGATATCCATTCCAGGATTTTACACAAGAACGGTGTGTGATAGAGCTGGTCTATACAGCCCTAAAATATTCTACAGGTCACATTGGGAATTGCTATGGCACCTCTCCAAGGGCCATTCCCTTAGGATGGAGGAATTCTAGAATCATGATGGGACTGATGACAGGAAGTAGTAGTAGAGGTGAATACTAGTGGGTTCCCTGTGAGATCACATTTTTAATCAACCCTTTACTTACATAAAAGAAAAGTTAGTGAATAACTAGATGACATTACCTGTTAATAAAGTTATTATAACCCATGGTTCTGATGTGGAAAATAACTGTACAAATGTCATCTTTGTGTCCCCAGTTTATTTTCCACTGATATGTTCATATAACTTTGCTGTTTTTTTACAAGGAAAAAAACCACACACTTTTTTTCTCACTGTCCAAACTGCAAGATCAGTCGTATCAAGTAGTGATCAATCTGCTTTACACTGCATGTTACCATCATCACCTATAATTAAGATTCAAGATTGAGAAGCTGCCTGACAATTTTGATAATGTATGAGTCAAAATAGAATACAGCTTATTCTCCCGTAGCTCTTTTGGCTTTGCAGTTCTGTAAACCAAGCAGATATGATTTAGTTAATACACTAGGATCAGATATATTTAGTTGTAACAAAAGAAAAGTCTTTTAGAATAACTCCTTTTAATCATAATTACAGTGTAAGGATACAAATAATCCCAGGTTGCAGGAGTCATAATTCTCAGATAGCACTTAATCATTGCCTTAATTATATGTTTTTGAAGCAATTTACTTTAGTTTGGAGTTGACAATCATTCTGCTACAAAAGTGAAAGTAAGGATTAAAATTATGTATTGTCTGCCAACTACTAGAATGACCAGTTTTCAACTCTTGCCTGGAAAATATGTTAATTCACATTTTAATTAAATTGTAAAGAATTTGCACAGAACAAAGAATGAAGTTCTTAGTGACAAGATAAATTGCTTAAAGGAAATTATGCTGGAGTGACTTCCTGTGATTGAATACATGAAACTGTAAAAATATGACAAGTGGACAATAAAAACTGAGCAGCAGTGCTCTACATAAACAAAAAAACCCTACAGTTAATTTTTTTAATGACTATTCTTGGCATTGTTTGATCCGATAATCCTACAAACTGCATCAATATTCTTATTTTTAAATTCCAGAAAATGATGGTATTTTAATTCATATCCATGCCAAAACCTGGGGGGAAATAAATCAACTCTTCATGTCATATTAAAAGCCTGGATAATTATAATTCGATCCAAGTACTTACATTAATTAGGATGTAATAAGCCTTCCAGAAGCTTCCCTGTCTGAAGAATTTTGCCACTACCCATTGATTGATGGTGGTGCTGGGGGGGGGGGGGGGGAGAGGATCATATGCCTTTTCCTTATGAAAAAGTATTATCGGCCTCAGTATTGTAATTATGGCACTCAGGTAAATTGCTGCTCCTGCACAGAGCCCCATTGACCCGTATTATAAATGCCTGTGTGCTATCAATTGCAGGATGAAGGCCCCAGAATTTAATAGAGAGTAAACCAATACATTTTTATAGAAAACATAAAAAAATAGAAACTGTTGATACAGAATGACATCCTTTCTATAAATTACATAGAAATAGGTAGAAAGAATCTAATTTTCTATTTTAATCTATAGTATTGTCCAGTTTATTCTACAAGACTATCCAAAAGAGAAACTATAAAAAGGATAATCTTTTAAATTAAGTGCCATCTGACTTTTCTACAGTTGTTTTTATTAACATATATAAGGTAATATTCACACACAGATAACAATTAACAACTTACAAAGAAGCACAGTATGAAACAGTGCAGTTGGAGTTCTCCAGAGCTCTTTTTAGGCTCCAGAATCTGAGATGAGTAGCTGGTGGGATCCTGCCTACCTGGTGATCCCCAGTCACCCTCTTTGGGGATATTTGTGGCAATGTGTTTTGATAATGAGGACTGCAGATTATAGGGCAGGATGTTTTGTATTTGTCCTGATTGTAAGACAAAATTGCCATGGCTTTAATGAGGGTAAGAACTAAGATATTGTGTAATCTTTTCAGGGTGACAAGGAGTTCATCACCAGTGAAAAAATCTGTTGAACATTAAAAGGAAAAAATCTCTCTTTTGCAGCGCCTACATCTGGAACATACGTATTTTCTCTCTCCTTGTCATCCACTCCCCATCTCATTTCGAACCTCATCAGAAATCATCCTTTTCAGCCTTGAACTTATGTTTTATATCTTTGCCATTCCTCCCTGCTAGACCATGTGCTTTTATTTATTGTTTAACTCTGCAAAGCATTTTGAGATAATGGTCCAGTTCATTAGCTGGTATGAATTGGTCACGTTCATCAGGTGTTATAAATTGGCATAGCTTAATTGAAGTTAATGAAGCTATGCTGATTTACACCCACTGAGAATATCCCCCAAAGTTTGTATGAAAGATTCTGTACAAACAAGGCCCCCGTTCTGCAAACACACACATGAGTAGTGCCCCTTATTCTTGTAGGTAAAATTACTCACATGCATGAATGTTGGCAGGATAAGTGCCTGAAATTACATGGTATTGAATTAGGCCCTAATTTAGTAAAATGTGTAAGCACTTTCCTATCTTTAAGCATGTGAGAAGTCACCTGGGCTTCATTGGGACTATTTATGTGCCTAAAGTTGGGTAAAATGTTTAAGAATCATGCTGAATCACGGCCTTAATCATTAAGACTTACTATGACTGAAAGTTCTTTGGAGCAGAGTCCAGGCCTTCATATTTTTGTACATCACCTAACAATCCTGACTGGGGTCTTTGTGTACTACCCTGATTTAAAAAAAAGAAAAGAAGAGAAAATGCACAGCTGTACATGCTTGTGCTCCACACCTTTCATTTCCTCACCCTCGTGTCCAACCCTGCCACAAGTGGTGGGACCTCCTACCACCAGTGGAGGGTGAGGAACTCTGGTGGGCCAGTCTGTATTCCACATTGGTCTTGTGGCCCTCTGGGGATATTAGTTGGCAGCTCGTTCATGGAGCCATGAGCATGGGCATGTAGTTGGTGCAGTTCACCTTTCTTGCCTCTTGTGTGGCATGAGGGAGACACTGGTGCACATCTATCTTGAGTGTGCAAGGCTACAGCCCCTTTTCTGGCTTCTCCTTAGGTTATGGCTGCACTGTTCTCTGCACTTCCTGATTTACGCACAGCCCAGCTGTTGCCCCACAAAGTCATGAGACCTCCTCATCAACCTCCTCCTGGCGCTGGCCAAGGTAGCCATCCACCATATCAAGAGTAGGATGCTGGATGGGGAGGTGCTTTGTGACTGTGGGGCCTATTTCCGCTCCTCCCTCAGATCACATGTCCGAGCAGTGTTTCTCATGGCTAAGTCCACTGGCTTCCTGGATGCCTATGCGGAACGGTGGATGCTGTCTGGTATTCTCTGCTCAGTGTCTCCTTCTGGTTCCTTGCTTTTGACCCTGTGACCTTCCCTTAGGGTTGCCAACCCTCCAGGATTTGCCTGGAGTCTCCAGGAATTGACATAGATCTCCCGGTGACTTGAAAGCAATCCCAGAGATTTTAATAGGATATTTTAAGAAAATGACGTTATGTCTTGGAAAAAAAATCTCCCAGAATAGCTTCAGTCAGAGTTGGCAACCCTACCCTCACTCCCATTGCTGTTATTCATCAATTGTCCCCAATTTCAGTTGAGACCTGGGTTCAGTAGTTTCTCCTCTTAGGCTGGTGGAGGAGCCTTTAGATGAGGGCAGGACTTGCACCTACCCTCCCCCGGGTCTTCAATAAGTACTCACTCCCACGTTCTCTGTCACAGATGGTTTTATGGTTAAAGCAATTGAATGCCACCCAGAACAATTAGATACTTCCCCTCCTCTCCACATAGTTCCTATGTGGTACTGGGAAAGTCATGTAAACCAAAATTTTCAAAGATGTCCAGGGCTTGATGGTACTCACTAAATAATGCATGTAGTTACATGCTGAATAATCAGGATAAAGAGAAATACTGAATGCTTATTAAATGAGCACTGTCCATCCTGTGCACTGAATGAGGAAGGGGTCATGTAGAAAAAAACAGCAATAAGACTGTATCATAATGCATATGTACAAGGGAGCAAAAATAAAATTTCTCAGGAAACCCTAATCCTGGTATTTCCTAACTTTTGGCTGGTTGACTTGTCAACCTTAGTGTTCTTTTTATGTAGGAGGTTTTTTTTTCTTTTAATGTAATACAAATATAGAGTCAAAGTTTTGGTGCAACCACAAAAATGTGCAGTCACCCATTGTGACTGCAGCTCTCCATTTTCCATGTGCAAACAGTCATTTGTGTACTTATTTGTAAAAACAAATGCAGGTACAAAGGTACATATAGATTTCTGACAGTGCACCTGTTGCTTTTGATCCATATTGTGAAAGTCCCTAATTCAGTTTTCACGCTAAACATATTTAGATGTTTAAGCTGTAATAATTCCTGAAATACAATAAAATTAATTAGGCCACTAGCATGAAGGCATCTTCCCACTCTGTGTCTTTTTGATAACAGTATTTGCTGTCCCCATTTCTCCTCTGTCCCTTGCCTTATGGCACAATATTTTAGGGTTTGATTCTGTAAAGAGTTGATCACCAATTTTGAGCTGCTGAGTGAGAGTCTCCTAATTCAGTGAGAATTGACATATCTCAACAAAAAGCACTCAAGCACTTTACAGGATCAGGAAGTTTGTAAATAATATTGACAATCCTCCTGCATGAGGTACCACCACAGTGTAAACAGCATGTTGTTTGGCAGATTTCTTCAGCACAAAAAACATGTTTGTTTGAAAACAGAAGGAATGTAAAGATCTGTTTAATAATTTCTTGCATAGTAGGTCAGCTATTTCTCCATTTTTCTATGTGACATACAAACTGTAATATGGACAGTACACTCCATTAATGAAGAAAAATAGAGCTTGTGAAAGAAAAATCTCATTTGGATATGAAGATACTCTCTTTTTTGAGCATAGGGTCAGACGCTGGCATTTTCAGATTCTCGTTCAATAAAATACTCAATTGACCTATGGTTGCATTCAAAAGCCAAAGTGAAAGCAGATGAAAGAATTCAAATTCTAATCTTTCCCCTTTTTGCTGCCACTTCAAAAATGTAGCTTTTCAACCATATTGAGCATGGATTAGTTTTAACTGTAGCCAACTTAAAATCTGAGGGTCCTTCAACAATATTAGAAGATGGTTCTGCATTTTAAAAAAATGTAAAACATATTTTGAGTTTGTACAGTACCTGAGCGAGGTTCGTAAGTGTGTCTCTGAAGTGGCCTGAAGTCTCAGAATAAATGTCTTGTTGAATATCATTGTTGTATTCTGGGGTGCAAACCACAACAAACTTGTGTTAAATATGTTAAAGTTATAGTCCAAAAATATCAGCCTGTGGACTGAGAGACATTTCAAAGATCACAGAATCATGAATGTCTATAAAAATTGAGATATTTTTATGCTAATACATTAAAAATTTAAACTTGATTTATACATTTTGCTTCAGCCTTTTATGTACAATTATCCTGAAACAAGGAAAGAGAGAAAACAATTGGCTTTAAGAATTCATCTTTGGAAGTCTAGCTCTTTCAGTCATGCAACTATATCCAGAACACTTTTAGTCAGAATTGCACCCTTGTAGGATATGCTACTGTATACTTAAATAAAATAAAATAAACAATACGCATTAAGTAGGCTTCTTTCATTTGGAAGATCTCCCCATTTGATCTTGAGGCTAATATATCAATTAGACAGTTCTCTTCCATCTCTGCTCCCTGCAAGGAAAAAATAGCAAACAAGCAAGGTCATTACTAGTAGAGATAATGGCTTCCAATACAATGTGTAATATTTGTCAAGGACAGTGAAAGAATGCTAGTCTCTGTTCGAGGAGTTCATGGTTTATTTTTATGGGTTATTTTCCTATTAATAAGAGTACTGATTTCAGTCTTTTCGGGGTTACTGATTAGCTTCTGTGTAATTAGTATTAGAACTGAACCTCCAACATTAACACTTAAAGTTAAGCATGTGAAGTGTCCTATTGCTAAGGCAACATGGAGAGCGAGACAATGCCCTACCAAAGGAGCAAATGCACTGGGATGAATTTCATTCCTAGGGAGCAATAAAGCCCTTTTAAATATGTGGGGCTTTGTAAAGAATTAAATGCATGTACTAAGCATGCTGTCCCTAATTGTGCTAGGGGTTTAGACAATTTGAAATATATTTGAACATCAATAACATGCTGTGCTTCCAGTTTCTCTTTTTTGGAACTACTTAGAAGTATGTTTTGCAATGTTTACAACAGTACTTGATTTTTACATGAAGTACTTCTTCATTACTGTCATACCATGTAGGATTGCAAATCATTACATTTCCCCACAAGGTTGTTGACTTCAGTTTGTGAGTCTGAATTGAGGTGAATGGATGCTACATATACTGCTTTTGATAGGTGCATAGAGCTCTGGTTAATGACAATGGGAATTATGCATTTAGAACAGGAGAAGAATATGTCAGCAAGGCCCCAATTCTGCAGAGTTATGTATATGCATTATTTTAAGCATCCGAGTAATCCCATTGATTCCATAATTAAGGTACAAGAGTGTAAAAAAGCACAAACTTGATTCAAATGCAGAAACATTCTAGATTTGCCAATCCTGGTCAATAGTGATAAAAATAGTACTTCTGATGCTACTAATGGGCTATAATAATCTCACTGCTAACCATCATTTTAAAAATATACCAGTAGCTCTAAAAGTGCCTTGATATCAACTGTTAAAAAAATGACAAAGTTGGTGCTCATTTTATTTGCTGGCAATGACTGCTTAATACAATAAAATAGTTCCTAGCCTTGAAAATGGGAATGAAAGCAAAATGTTAAAGGATAGTCATTGATTTATAAAAGAGTAAGGTAAGTATTAGGGTGCAGACAATGCAAACACTTATGCATGTGCTTAGCCTTATGAGAAAGATTCAATGGAACTACTCATATGAGCATATCTAAGAATATGTCTAAGCATTTGCCGGATCAGGGACTTACATTTCAGTTAACAAACCATACTGTAGAAATATGTGATTTTCTTCAGTTATCTGTTTATATTCATCTGTTAAATGATTGCTGTATTTTTTAAAGCTAGATTATTTATATTGCTTTTAATATATAATATATATTGATTTAATATATAATTATGTATTTATATATTAAAAGCAATATAAATAATCTAAACTGAGAAATGCCTTTTTAACAGTTTATCATTCAGCTATATGTCAAAGAATCTATGAAACAGATGTGAATTGCTGTAATCAGTGCCTATAAGTAATAATCTAAGTATTTTTGAGTTAGACAAGCACCTTCATAGCATGCCTGAGCTCATGGGCATCATAGGATGCAGGTGGATACATCAGGCCAACCATGACGTCTTTGAAGTGATGAGAGAGATTCTCTTTCAGGTCCATAATCAAATCCTTGGAAAAAAGATAATCAGGATTATTGTGGTACTCATGCTGTGCAGTGGAATATTAATCACTGAAAACATTAAAAATAAAAACTAGCAATTATTTTTGTGATATAATAAAAAGATGAGCCCTGCAGGCTGGATTGTGGCTACAGTTAAGTAACAAAAACTCTTCTCAAAGCTGTGCATAGACTTGTTGATAATATGGGTAAGGCTACTGTACATAAAGAAAGAAAAAGAGCACAGCAATGTTGGCTTATGGTTAATTAGAACATAGGTGAAAAAAACCCCAATATTTAGAAATGGAAAAGACTGACACTAGTAAGGAAAGACATTTGGGGCCAAATTTTAAAAGGGTCTGCAATCTGCTTTGAAACATTCTCCATCAACTTGTGTATGCAAATCTTTATGAACCCAGACCTTTAGGTGTGCCTAAGCAAACAGCTTTTGTGTGAAGTCACCACAACTATATTTTATGGGTTGTACTCAACTATATTTGTAAGTAGGTTTGTAATCATATGCAGAGCTGGACAGAAAACAGTTTTCCCAGCCAGTGAAACTTGTCAAGATTTTGAAAATGGACTCATTCCACATCTGGATGAAACTGAGACCTTTTTGAAGTTACTCAATGAAAAAAAATATAGGAGAGCCTAGAGGCTGGTGATTATGGTACTTGCCTGGAATGATCTGAATCAGGCAGAGGGGGACTTATACGTGAGTGTTTGTCTGCTTTCCCACTCTTTCAGTCTCTTTTGCTGGAGTGCTTCTGGTGTGCATAAATAATTAACTCTTCATTTGAGCAGGGACTTGAACCTCCATCTCTGGTTAGTGGTCTAGCCACTAACCTATAGTCAAACCTATAGACTAACACGGCTGCTACTTTGTAACCTATAGTCAGTCACCCTCTCAAGCAATATTTAATTATTTATACAAAATGTAACATCTTCAGCCAGCAAAACTGAGCTAGAGACACACTGATTTGGAGCAAGTACTCTGTTACATAGGCCAGAGGCATGCTGTAACCACAGGACTATAATCTCTCTTAGTCCTGTTCCTCCCTGACATTCCATCCTGGACCTGAGGAACTTTTCTTGACAAAAATGTGTTGCACCTAACCCCTTCCTACAAAACATTTCTGTTTTGACAAATAAACATTTCATGATTGAAATAAATCTTTCAGCCAAAAATTCCTCTAGTCATATGTCAGGGAGAAGAGATGGAGGCTAGTCAGGAACTTAAAATGGCAAGAAAGCTGTCCCTGATCAGAGGAGCAACATGAGGAAAGGTTTTATCTTTGCTTATCTTTTCCTACTTTCCAGCACCCTTCGTCTGCTATACTTTGTGAATACTAGACTTATTTAGTGAATGTGTCCATTTGCATTTATCACATTTGCTGGACGTTTTTCTCTTGGATACCAGCATGTGATTCCTGTTAAGGTTAATGAGACTTATGGGTAAGTACTAAGTAGCGAATGTCCCCCTAGTTGATTTTAACAATGCACATGAAGCTGTGATATACATTGGAAAATAAAAACATTGCTGCCTATTGTGACATATCACATAGTTATACTTCTTGGGGCAGACCCTCAGCTGAGAATCTTCTCCCTGGAAACTACATACTGCTTCTTCCTCACTACTAAAGGATTCTCTTCATGGACTCTTTCTTTGGGGTATAGGAGATTTCTAGGGACTTTCCGCCCCCCCCCCCCCGTGTTATTCACTCCCCAGACAATGAGAAATCTTGAAAATACATGCCTCAGGTTATTGGCAGTTAGTGTATGTCTCTCCCTTTTTGTTTTTTATTTTAACTGAATTTAACAAAACTGGTATGATGGCACTGGAAGCTTCTCCACAGCCCCATATGCATGCCTCCGCACTGATCTACAATGTACTTATTGAGGGGATAGGAATGTCCATGCTCACTTACTCTTTATCTGTTTGAGGCTGTCAACCTCTTAAGACTGCCAAAAAGCTTGTCACTTGCAGCAGTGGTGTGTTATTGTGTAGATACCTATTCACTTATTTCCTATACACTACTAAGCAGGCATCAGGACCCAGATCCACAAAGGACCCAGATTCTTAGCATCACACTGCCTAACTTTTAAGTACCTCTAAATCACTGTAAATCCTGGGTTAGATGCCTAGACTCCCTACACAATGCATGGAGAGAGATAGGCACCTGAGAATAGGATCCACAAAAGCCAGCATGCTAGGCAGGGAGCTGACAAGACTAGCCAACAGCAGCTGCTTGAGGAGAGGGGTGCCTCTCTCATGGAGTGAGGCGTCTATGTCAGAACTGCAGGGAGAGACCTATCTCTGCGTGTGATACTCAGCTGGGAACCCATCTCCTAGAGTATGTTGGCTTAGATACCTGAGACATTTCTTGTGAGACTGGCTTATGTGCCTGCCTAGCTCCATACTAAATGGGATGGAGAGGAGGTGGACTCCCTTTTAACCACTAATCAGGGGGTTAGGGTACTCATGTGGGAGAACCTAGTTCAATTCTCCCTCTCCCCATCTGAAGAGGAAACCGGATTTGAAGAGGGGTTCTTCACTATTCAGGTGAGTGCCTGAACCACTAGACTGGCATATTTTAAATGACTGCCTAGGAAGGAGTACTGCGGAAAGGGATCTGGGGGTCATAGTGGACCACAAGCTAAATATGAATCAAACGTGTAATGCAGTTCAAAAAAAGCGAACATCATTCTGGGATGTATTAGCAGGAGTGTTGTAAGCAAGACATGAAAAGTAATTCTTCCTCTCTACTCCCTGCTGATTAAGCCACAACAGGAGTACTGTGTTCAGTTCTGGGCACCACATTTCAGGAAGGATGTGGAGAAATTGGAGAGTCCAAAGAAGAATGACAAAAACGATTAAAGGTCTAGAAAACATGACCTATGAGGGAAGATTGAAAAAATTGTGTTTGTTGAGTCTGGAAAAGAGAAGACTGAGAGGGGATATGATAACAGTTTTCAAGTATGTAAAATGTTGCTACAAGGAGGAGGGAGAAAAATTGTTTTTCTTAACCTCTGAGGATAGGACAAGAAGCAATGGGCTTAAATTGCAGCAAGGGAAGTTTAGGTTGGACATTAGGAAAAACTTCTTAACTGTCAGGGTGGTTACGCACTGGAATAAATTGCCTAGGGAGGTTGTGGAATCTCCATCATCGAAGATTTTTAAGAATAGGTTAGACAAATACCTTTCAGGGATGTTCTAGATAATACTTAGTCCTGCCATGAGTGCAGGGGACTGGACTAGATGACCTCTCGGGGTCCCTTCCAGTCCTATGATTCTATTCTCGAGGGTGGGGGGAAGAGGGTGTATCTCAATCTCTCTTGTTGAAGCCATTCCACTTTGTACTAAATAATTAAGTATTAATTAGGCCAGAGAGAGTAAGAATAACTCTATAGTCCAGTGATTAGGGCACGCGTGTGAGGTGGAAAACTCCTGTTAAAATTCCTTTCCCTCAGGCAGAGGGGGGAAATGAACAAATGAACTGGGGTCTCCCACATCCTAGGTGAATGTCCTAAGTACTGGGCTAAAGCTTAGACAGGAGGGTGTTAACTCCTCCTCCACCCAGCTCTTTGGTGTGGAGTGAGCCCTATTCAGAGCACAGCTACCGGATCAGGCTTTGCAGGTGAGATGGGCAAGAGACCATCTATCTTTGCCTGGCTTGAGGCATGAGAGAGGCCAGGGTGCCGGCCTGTGGCAGAAGATTAGGCACGCAGTGAGCTTTTACTGAGGAAATTTAGGCAGTGAGCTTTGGCTCCAACTGAGTGAGGGTTCTGTGGATTGCAGGGGTGCCTTAATCTTGAAATCAGTGGAAGTTAGGAGCCTAAATACCTTTGAGGACCTGGGCCCAGATTCCTACTGACCTGAGCTTGGATTTGAATCAGTGATCAGATGGACTCCAATTCCATAAACCAGCCAGTCCCTGTCCCCCTCCCCCATGTTTATCTTCTTTTAGTTCAAAGATAGAGACTTCACTTTTGATGGACTGAAACAAAAGTATTAAGGCTGTTTCTTCCAATGCAACTTGTCTTAAATACTTTTGTGTATTGGTGAACATTTTTCATTACCAAGAGATCCATGGAGATGGTGGAAAAACTATAACTGAAAATGACAACATAGTTAATGCAAAAGCTTCTCTATCTCTCAGAAGGAGAATAATTAAAGATATACTCAGATATCCCATGGTTAATCAATTTAGTAAACAGAGTAGCAATGAGGAAGGAGACATACAAATTAAAAAATGAATTTATGATGAAGAAACAATATGTAATCTTCCCTGAATGCACATTAGATAAATTTGACAACTACTAAATCACACATAGACTTGAAATTAATTCATTAAGATATTTTACTGCTGACAGCATGCCTGTGGGAATATGGATTAATAATATAAATGGAGACTAATTAAAAATTACCCCCTGTAATCAGAACCAGGGTAGAATGAAGAGAAGTAGTGAAAAATAAGAAAAGACAAATCTAAGTTGTCATTATTAAAAATTTCCAATTGTCTCTCTGAGAAATCCTTAAAGGCTAATTGTAAGAAGGAATCTCTTAAGTTTCTGGATATGTCTGAATCAAACAGCCAGTTCAGAAGGTATTTAACTTCAGCATTTGCTTTTATCCATTTCTGCTTTTAATTTGCCCCATTTCCAGTTTGTAATTCATGTTAGTGTCAATATGAACAGGATCCTATTGAAAGCACAATAGCTACCATATTAAAAATTGATCTAGACAGAGGTCTAAATATGTGAAATCGATATACTAGTGTCTATACAGTGGCCTGTTCGATGAATTTTAAAAAAAATCAAAACAAAATATTAAAGCTGAACATGTCCCATGAGAGAGAGCTAGAAACCAGAGAACTGGGGTGAGGAAGAGAGAGGGAGGATGTGGAGAAGTGGCAGACCCTTAGCATTTTTGGCTGCTCCCTCAACCAAATAGTAACTAATTACTGACCCCCATTTCCACATCACTTTACATAGGGTTGGCATAAAGACTTTTGGGAAGGTTAGCAAGATGCACCCAATAATTGACTAATTTCACTTAATTTGTATCTTTAGACTCTTCTCTACCCAGTGGTGGCTCCAGGCACCAGCGCTCCAAGCGCGTGCCTGGGGCGGCAAGCTGTGGGGGGCACCCTGCTGGTCCCTGCGAGGGTGGCAGTCAGGCAGCCTTCGGCGGCATGCCTGCGGGAGGTCCGCTGGTCCCGCGGATTCGGCAGCAGGTATGCTGAAGCTGCGGGACCGGCGGACCTCCCGCAGGTATGCCGCCGAATCCGCGGGAACTGGGACCTCCTGCAGGCAAGCCGCCGAAGGCAGCCTGCCTGCCGTGCTTTGGGCGGCAAAAAAGCTAGAGCCCCTGTCTCTACCCCACACATTCTGCTGTGGAAATGGAATCCAATTGCTTGTTCCTTTTAACATTAGCAACTTGCTTACATTGTAAAAAGGGCTAGAAATTTTCTTTTAAAAATGAAAGCAGAGATTCTCCTTTACATTTCCAGTTTCCCCCTTATCATGAGACCTGCAGCCATCAACGTTACAGGGCCAAGAGGCTATTCCTGGGAGGTGGGAAAAGAAGGTTGAATTTAAGGTAAAATTGACCTAGAGGAATCTATTCTTTGTTCTTTTATTTATTGTTTGGTTCAGGATTTTAAAATGAAAATCCAAACTGTTGAATTAAGTAGACATAACAGGAATTATCCTCCATTAATACAGAATATCTCAAACCACATTATGTGAACTCCCTAAAAAGGAACTGGTAATTCTTTCTGCAAATAATATAGGTTTATATCCCAGTTACTCATAGGTTCAGTAATTTAAAATAAAATATCACTAACTTTTTTATTTTATTATAATGATAGCTCCAGTTGCAAGTAATATTCCAGAAAAATATCAGAGGAGCACTTGATGAAAAGAAATGCTATGTACAGAGTTTCTGCTGTGGACTGTACACATACCTGAGATGAGATTAGCTTGATCAGATTAGCTCAATTTCTTAACAAAATACAATTAAAAGTTGTTACAGTGCCTATAACGCTATTTGATTTTTTAAAACTGTTGGCTCAATCCCAAATATAACTGGTACAGCAGAAATCATTAAACCTCATTTACCAACTATTTCCACACACACAGTCTGAGATTACCACAGTTTTCACTACACTGAAGGAATTTATGGTAACTGTGTAGTAAGTGTTGGCAAAAGATAACTTTTTAATGGCAACTACTACAGTTATATTAGAGAGGGAGGATGGTATAGTGATTAGGGATACAGCCTATGACTGGGGAGACCTAGATTCTGCCATAGATTTCCTGTGTGACTTTGTGTAAGTGTCTGTGTCTCTGTTCCCTTTTGGTAAAGGAGGATAACAACACTACCTACTTCACAGGGGTGTTGTGAAGATGGACAAATTAAAGACTATGAGGTATTCAGGTACTATGGTGGTAGGAGGCATAAAAGTAGTAAAGATATCTAGGTAATAGAATTCACTTATGTACATACTGATGTTCTAGTGATTTCAATTAAATGTAAGTAGAACAACAGACGCTGGAAAGTGAGATGATCTATGGCTTAGTTGTAGTTTATTCATTTTGATTTATAACACAAAAACCCTTCTTTACCTTTGTTTAAAGATGATATAATCCAGACAAAATCAGCAGCCCCCCCCCCATCCCTACAAACCAGAAAATAACCAACTAAACATGAAAATAAAGTTCAAACAGTTCTCCCCTCTACCCATATATACCAGCCCTCCTTCTGCCTCTCCATCCCTTCATTGTCTCAGAAAACAGGTGGGCTTTGCAGCCTATATAAAAATCAACAGACTTGGGCAATTTTGGATCAGGGAGGGAATAAATTCAAAAGTTAAGGTCTGCTTATGGAGAACACCCTCCCAGCAGTCCCCGTATACCTGAGAAGCTCCACTATAAGTATCAAGACACTTCTCAAGGAGAATCTCTTTTCTTAGGGTTGTGGTGAGCTGGTAAACTGAGGGGGACTGGGTGATCCAGAGTTCAGGGAAATTGGATTTAACTCAAGCTATTGGGCTAATTTCTATTATGACTGAGGGGAATCTGGTCAGTTTAATCATAGGATTTTTCATTAGTTGTGTATTTTTGTATATAATAAGAAAATCTGACTCTTGCATTGCCTTTTGCATCTGTAGATTTCAATGCTCTTCACAAAGAAAGTCAGTATCATTATCCCCATTTTACAGATGGGGAAACTGAGGCATAAACTGACAACATGACTTGCCCAAAGGCACCCAGCAAGTCAGTTATAGGGCTGGGCATAGAATCCAGGTCTACTGAGTCCCAGGTCACCGCTCTATCCACTAGGCAATATTGCCTCCTCTGACATGTATAAGAGATGCTAATGTTCCTGGTAGGTGCTTTTAATGAATTTAAATAGAATATTAAAAAAAATAGAATGTGACCAGAAGACAAAAGCTACCCAAGCTCCTGTCCTCTCATATTTGAAAAGCATGTGTGTGTGTGTATATTTCAGTATAAAAATTGGTGGTGGTGGTGTATTATCACAAAAATTGTGCCACATCACTTCTGGATGTGAGCAGATCTGATCTCATACAAGTTCTGAAGCACCTTACAAACATTATTTACATATCACCATATCTCTGTCAGATAACTTATTTCCACTGTACCAATGGGTACTCAGTGGCACAGAGAGTTTAAGTAAAATGCCCAAAGTCACACATTGTAATCAGGAGAACAAACTATATTTGAGAAGCTGGGGTGAGGGGAAGATAGAGGTATTTCTAAAGAATGTATGTAAGATCAGTAGAGGAACATAGTGAGTGAACTGTGGGGGAAGAAACTTTCCATCTCGTTTCCTTCTTAGTTCTTTATGTCTAAACAGACGTTTAACTTCCACTGTCATATAAATGATAACTGACAGTCTAAAACCTGAAGAGGTATTGATAGTCATATAAATAAAGTAGTTGTCTGTCAATCAGGTGGCGATACAGCTTCATGCCAGAGATTGGGTTCCAGGAAACGACCTGAAGAAAAGGCCAACAGCAATAAGTACAGAAGGGTTATAAGTGTGGACATATGCAAAACGATATCATACCCTGCCATACATGTCCCTGTAAGCCTCTGCAATCATAAGTCTTTGTGCATTGCAACGCTGTGTTAGAATATCAATCACCATGTCCTTTTCACAACCTGGAAAGGAAACAAGACAAAATGCCTAAATTAAACTTTTACTTATATTTATCATTGTTTGGTGAATGTAAGTAAGATACCATGTTTTGTTCAAATGCATTAACCACATTTCTTGCAGAAAAAAAATCAACAGATTAATATCAGATTGGTATTTACAAATATCAGTAATCTTTATCATGCTTATGTACCTTTCATTTGCTGGCATACTACTGACAAATAGTCAAGAAATCTGTATTATCATCAGATGCATTACCATACTCTCAAGGGGAATGGACTTGAAAACATCAGTAAAATTGGATAAAGGCTTTCATCAAATGAGAACTAGGCATTTGGGTAGAATTTATAGCTAGGACTGGAAAGTTGAGTTTGCATGTGACAATGCTGATTAAATTGTCATTTTCGAGTTATTGATCTCCAGTAATGGAATGGCTATTTACAGAGGGACTATTGGTTGTAAAATTGCTGAATAAGGTGCTCAGTTGGATAGTGTAAAATAAGATGTTGAAGGATTATTTATTAATACTGATTTCTGAATGATGCATTAGGACCAAGGGTTACTTTGTGGAAGAAGGTTATCTATGATCATTAGCTTGTAACTGGTGATTAGAGCTACCTGAGTGTTTAAGTGAAAGTTGCAGGTAACCCACAGAAGTTTTTGAATGGAAACTTTAGTGGTGGATAACATGGTATTGGAAGATAGTCTTTAAGGTTCTTTAGCATTATTCTGAAATAATTCTTGATTTTTTGGGACTATGCAGATTTTATTGTATGAATTTTAACTCAGGTTCTGTTTAGACAAATTTGATATTAGCTGCAAGAACTATGGCTTGTATTATGTTGCCAAGTGCTGATCATGGTAATAAAACATTCTACAGTATAACCACAAATTCTGAATAGAATGTCATCAGTCTATAACACAGTAGATTTACAGTGGATAATACAGTAGATTAAGTCTTGTTTAATTGGCAGAGCACCATTTCCTCACCACAGGGCAGGCTGTTGGCTCTCATGAATGAGATGGATGCCATTTTATTTCTCATCTGGAGTCCGATCCTGTGCACACTGAAGTCAATAGCAAAGCTCCCATTCCATTCAATGATGTAGCCTCCGACTCAAGAAGTGTGCAGTTTCAAATCCAGTAAGTTGTTTTCACTTTTCAGAGAACAGTTACTCCAGGAGGTTTGTTTATAATGAAAAGTGGTTTGTTCATCCTTGAAGTTAGTGCTCAACACAGCAATTGTTTATCTCCATAAGTAACATTACTCATGTGAATACTCCCATTGTTGCTCATTGAGACTACTCATGTGAGTAATTTTATTACATGCATAATTGTTAGCTAGACTAGGGCAACAAACTGCCAACTCTTCGGGGCAAAGTCTGTGGAGAGTAAATGGACATAGCTTCAGTGAAGTCAAACTGCTTTAATTTTGTCAGATAAGTAGTCATGCATGAAAACAGAAGCTTATGCCCATGTTTTTACATTATTAAGTTTAAAGTACACCTCTAGAACGTGACCTGATATAACACGGGTGGGGTGGGGTTGCGCACTCCGGTGGATCAAAGCAAGTTCAATATAACGCGATTTCACTTATAAGGCGGTAAGATTTTTTGGCTCCCGAGGACAGCATTATATCGGGGTAGAGGTGTATATTAAAATGTGTTATTGCAATTTGTATTTAATAGGTGATGGACAGAATCTTGTCTATTTTAATCCCAGTGAAAATATGACTCATTAAAAGTTCTTGCTTAAAGAATAGTAAAATACGAGAAACCTTAACATGTAACCAGCTTAATCAATCAAAAAGAAGAGGCAGACTGTACTTAATACTTTTTGGTATTTCCTGGGACAAAGTATACATAGCTGAATGGAGGCACATACCCTCCACTCAAGAAAATGGCTGGACAGAATGCCAGATTTGGTGCTTTAAGTAGGGCTGTCATTTAATCACAGTTAACTCAAGCGATTAACTCAAAACAAATTAACTCTATTAAAAATATAATCACAATTAATCACAGGTTTAATCACAATATTAAACAATGATAGAATACCAATTTAAATATATTATAAATATTTTTGGAGGTTTCTCTACACTTTCAAATATATTGATTTCAATTACAATAGAATACAAAGTGCACAGTGCTCACTTTATATTATTATTTTCATTAAAAATATTTGCATTGTAAAAAAGATAAAGAAATGACATTTTTCAGTTCACCTCATACAAGTACTGTAATGCAATCTCTATTGTGAAAGTGCAACTTACAAATGTAGATTTAGTTTTTTTTACATAATGGCACTCAAAAACAAATCAATGTAAAACTTTAGAGCCTACAAGTCCACTCAGTCCTACTTCTTGTTCAGCCAATCGCTAAGACAAGCAAGTTTGTTTACATTTATGGGAGATAATGCTGCCCGCTTCTTATTTACGTCACCTGAAAGTGAGAACAGGTGTTCGCATGGCACTGTTGTAGCGGGCATTGCAAGGTATTTACATGCTAGATATTCTAAACATTAGTATGCCACCCTGATGCTTCAACCACCATTTCAGAGGACATACTTCTATGCTGATGATGGGTTCTGCTCAATAATGATCCTAAGCACTTTCACAATAAAGAAATTGCATTACAGTAATTTTATGAGATGAATTGAAAAATACAATTTCTCTTTTACAGTACAAATATTTGTAATAAAAAATATAAAGTACGCACTGTAAACTTTGTATTCTATGTTGTAGTTGAAATCAATATATTTGAAAACATAGAAAACATCCAAAATATTTAAATAAATGATATATTATTCAACAGTACAATTAAAACTGCAATTAATCGTGATTTTTTTAAATCTCGCAATTAATCGTGATTAGTTTTTTAATTGTTTGACAGCCCTAGTTTTAATACTCGTAAAAAGCCTAGCAGGGTGAATTTGAAAGCTTTTCACGCAGACAGCTATCCTGATGAGGAAAATGTCTCATTCAAAGATTCAATATACTGACCCCCAGCAATATCAACAATACCCAAAGAGGAAAACAAAAACCTGAAGAGAAAAAAATGCTTTGGTGAACTGCATCTTTGTCTGGTTTTTGCTTTCAGTCCATAGATTAGCTATTTCTCAAGAGGAATCAATAAGGTAATCTTGTCTTGTGTTTTTTCAGACATGATTGATATTTTAAAAGCCAATATCCTTTGAGAATAGCTAATTTTAGATGTCATAATTAAGAGAGTTTTCTTTTGTCTCAAGAGTGCTGGTGAAATAAAAGATAACCTTTAGGAAAAGGAAGCTTAGTACAAAAACCCCAAAAGCTTTGACTAAGTTGTCGTAGGCTTGTGTCTACCCTGAACATACTTTAATTCCTTCCAATGCAATTGCAGAGTTTCTTTTAATGTCAGTGATTTATGATTTTTAGTTAAAAATCAATTATCTCTTTCCATGCTTAATGCCTGTTTCCATGATTGTTCTTTTTCTAAAGGTGTTTCCAAGGATGGGCTGAAAGAAGAGATGGTTTGGAATTGTCAGTCAGGATACACACCTATCCCCTGTAGGGCTCCCCCCAGCATCTGGGCATCCATAACTGGGTTGAAATTTGGAGCTGGGAAGATTGTTCCTTGTATCTGCTAAGGGGGAAAAGAGAGAGTGTTATTTGTAACTGATCATTAATTATATACAAGATGTCATCAGCAGAATTATGAATGAACCACCAGATTTTGGAACCCTTGTTCATATGAATAGTCCTTCCTTTAATGAGTAAAGCACTGAAGCCCTCTGGAACCTATGTCTGTAATGAGTAAAGGTTGCAAGATCAGGCATCAAACCTGTTTTTTGGAACCCATTGACACTCAAAACACATACTTTAGTTTCTATGAGGCTACGAAGCAATATTTCACAAGTGACTAGTAAATAATATTATGTTAATCCTTGCATTCCAACCTCATTAAAGGGGCACAGTCAACTTGATGATCACATTTCCATTGAAATACCTATTGGGTATCTATTGTTGCAAATAGCTCCTACAGTTACTATAACACCTGAGATTAGAGAAAGATATTTGTTTACACAAGAGGCAGGTGTATAAAAAGAAAAAGGGGACAAAGGATATTCAGATATGTTTGATGTTAGTCTCAGGCCCACCTGAAAAACATGAGAGGAAACACTTTTAGCAATTAAAAAGAAAAAGTTAGGATATTATTTGAAGGATGCTCAATCAGAAAGCAATGCTTTAAGTTAGCCACTTTCAAAAAATTCAAGTTGAGGAAAAATTAAACAAAACAGCGCCATTCAAATATAGTTGTGAGGATTATAAAAGAATAGGATGCCCCAAGCAGAATTCAAATGAAGATCTTCCTTTGTTTAGCACAGAGTTCTAGGGCTTTAAAACTGCCTTTGGCAGTAGGAGAAAGTAAAAACATGACTTGCATTCAGTTACAATGCTCTCTGTCCAGCTTTAAAATGGTAGAACATTTGGAGTAGATTTGACATACATGGTTCACTGTTTCAGAAATAGTTGGCAACTAAACAGCATCTTACATTCAAACTTAGCACAAGAAAGCCATTTTAGTTTAAATTTCTTAAGATCAAGCAGATGTCTTATTGCTTAAATAAGCCACCAAAAGTATGGACACACCAGAAAAAATCATTTCAGAAGTGGAAATTGTAATTAATTCCAGTCTGTTAGATTCAACAGCTCTTTTAAATCTAGCACTCACAATAGATCAGTAACCTATGGCATGCACATGGAATTTGTTTTTAAGATTGGGTGGAGAGGATGTTTTCATTAGACTGATGTGGCTTTATGGATATCTCAAGATGAATGTGAAAGATCAGTGGAAACAATCTAAATCTAATTTGTCTAGCTATTTCCATAGTGTCCAGTACAGAGAAAACTTTGCAGAGATTCTTTGATGTATTGTTTTATAGACATAATTTATATTATAAGCAGATGTGATAGAAAATAATTACAAAATCTAGTGAAACTGCTACTCCTACTTTATGCTGAAGTTATTTTTCTGTGCCTAATTCTCCAGCCTCTAAGGGAAAAGAGGTTATCCTCAGAGATTCAGTTACAGTGAATATACTGGTCCTGGCATATAAAATGGTTGTTTCTATTTACCCTCAAAGAAAGGTTGTCTGAATGGAAACTTTAGTGATGGATAGCATGGTATTGGTATGTCACAGATGATGGTATTAATGTTCTTTCACTACACACAACCATCTCTGAATCTCAACTCTTCTAGGGTAAATAGAAACAACCATTTTATATGCCATACAGAGGTCATATGACTAATATCAATGAAGTATCACAGGCATGGTCCTTTCTAAGCATTATCATCTCAGACATGAAGTCAATAGTGGAGGAATTAGAAGAATAGCAACAAACATGGAAGGGTTAGAGGGCATGATTTATGAGGAAAGATTAAAATAACTAAGGTACTGATGCTCTCACTGGATTGTCATGACTAATTCATGTACCTGTATGGAACAGCATTGACCTTCATAGTGCTCCATATGGGCACAATAGTTTATGTGAATCCAGCAGCCGGATTGGGGCTTAAACATAGTCACTGCTTAGCCAAGCTATACAAAGTGAAACAATTGTTAGCAAAAATGTGAAAGGTGTGATTAAATAGGGAGGAATTGTTTGCCATGATGCAAAATATGATAGCTAGCAGTAATGGAATTAAATTAAGAAAAAGGAAAGATTCCTGACAAACATCTTTTTAGGCCAATCAATAGTCTCCCAAATGGTGGAAACCCATTAGTAGAGACATTTAAAAGTAGACTGAACACAGTGAGAAAATAGATTGTAGGGAACAATTTCTTAGTGGACAGAAGGATGGTCTAGATGTCCAGAAGGTCTTATCCATCTCTACTTGTTATGACCCATGTCCTCATGTCTGCCACAGAGCTCCAAGTGAGCCAAGCAAAAGCTGTGGCAGACATGAGGACATGGGTCATAGTGATTAGAGATGGACAAGACCTAGTGGACACCTAGACCATCCTCCTCTCCATTAAGAAATTGTACCCTACAATCTATTTTCTCACTGTGTCCAGTCTACTTTTAAATGTCTCTAGTAATTGGTTTCCACCATTTGGGAGACTATTAATTTTTTACAAAGAATTTTTTTCAAAAGATATAACCTGTCAGTCAGAACTGAGATGTAGTGAGCATCAATAATTTGTGTTCACAAGTACATGTTCTTGAAACTCCCAAAGCAAAATGGGTTTAAGTCCCTTCTGTAGAAAAGAAATAATTACTAGCATATGGCTTAGGGGTGATCATGAGCAAAGAGATGGGGAGTGCGTACCGCATATGCACTCTTGTCCAGAAAAGCGCCAGACAATATAAATTATGGATCTTTGACAACAGGCCTGATCCTTGCATATGCTGAATTTCCTCAGTTGGCCTCTTAAGAGGCACTGCTCAGTTCAGTATACCAGGCCCAATGTTAGTAAGGAAAATCCAAGCCAATAAACAGCCAAACTACGTTACCATAAAAATCAAAGGAACAATGATTTTAAATAGAACAGAATTACATATGTAACTTCAAGGCAACTCCTTCTAGAAAACATAGTACAAGAAAAACATTTTAAATAAAAATCTTAGAACAAAATTTGAGCAAACAGCTCTTTCCAAAATATTAAATTATCTCACACAGTACTTAGCTTTGATCTTGGCTTCTATCTCACACAAATGTTTGTGTCGGAGTCCACTTCCAGATTAGCTGGTCATTGTAGCTCTCATTTAACTTTGACTGGTTTTTCAGCAGATCCAGAATTCCACCAAGATACAATAAGTCACTGACCTGAACTTTGTGTTGCTGCATATAATATTAAGGCCTCCATTAAGGACCCTGAAATACTAACAACTCAGTGGCTGGCTTTTATCTCAGAGCTAGTATTATGAAAATAAATACAAAAACCCCCAAAACACTGTGCTTCTTTAAGAAAATGCCCTTCTTATTTGTAAGATGTGTATCCCCAGTCCTTATAATTTGAAGCTTTGAATGTCAATTTTCTGCCAGGACCACTTTAATTACTTTATTTTCTGAAAGCCATCCTGAAGCACTTTTTGTATGTTAGATCATTTGATACATCTAGTTTGAAAGTCTTTGGGGATCCAGCATGTACTAAACTTCATTGCATCTGTTTTTCCCCCAAATCTTCATAAAATGCAGATATAGGTCTGAGCCAAATGCTGTATCTGAACTTTGGACAAGTTCAGGCCTGACTCCAATGTGGTAACTATATAATGATTCATCATTGTCTTCTGTGTGTTACAATTACAAACCTTTTATACAGGACCAAGGGATTTCAAAGAGCTTTATAATATTCACTAAAAGTTAGTCAAAGGAGAGGGATGACAACCACATTGTGGTGGCCACTGGTAATTTCAAAGGACCTGACCCTCAACTGGTGTAAATGAATAACTCTGAAGTAAATCCTGCCTTGGAAATCAATGGAGCTATGCTGATTTATACTAGCTGAGGATCTGACCCTCTGTATTCTGTGGCATGTGGCAGCTTCATACTGCACCATCTTGTGGAGACATGATGGTGCATGGCGAGAAACTGGGGGGGGGGGAATATTTGGAAAGGAATTCAGATCTCCATGAGTCACTATATGTTAGTGCTAGGTCATGCCTGGCCCTTGTGCAAGTGCTTTTGGTGGGGAAAGAAGAAAGATTGTGGAAGGAGCTTTCACTTCTGCTTGTGGCACAATTGCAGCCCTTGTTCTTGGGGAAAGTACAGAGACTGCTCCCAACTAATGCCAGGGGAGCAAGCCACCCAGAAGAGAAGTAGGGGACACACCCCTACCCTTTGTGCACTTCATCTTCCTTACACACTGATGCAGAGGCCAGCCACAATCTGTTGCACAGTCATTTGAGAGACAGATTGGGGGTATGGCTGAGTTAAGTTAACACCATTTTGTTATAAGAATGCAATTGTATGATTGTAACCCTCAGTTTGCATTGTAATCATCTTTGGAAAACCGGACTAATCTTGACAAGGGCAATCTATTCTAGACATTGCGTGCTCACATGAGGCAGTGGGACACCTTGGAGAGGACTATCAATGAGAGAGCCATCAATGTTGAATAATTATTAGGGAATAATTACTAGACCAAGGGGTTTTCTACTAACAGGGCCTTTGACTGGACTCTCTACACAGAAACCTTTCTGGGAGAATAGGGCTGGAGTTTCCTGGTCTAAGTGTCAGGGACTAGGATATGGGTGGTTTTGTAGGGGTAGGATTTTATATTTGTATTAAAAGCCATAGTTTATCATGCCAGCCACCCTTTTTTAAATAGCAGAAGGGAATGACTCTCTGGGGCATTGGTAGAAACACATCTGACAGACTGCCAGCGTCTGTACTGGCAGACGGCCAAACCTGGTGCCTAACAATTGACTATAAAAGGATTAACAAAGGTACAATACCTATGGCTCCTATTATGACAGACATAACACAGGTTATACAAAAGGTCCATGCCACATCAAACTATTTTTCAGTAATCAACTTATCCAACTGTTTCTTTGCTATTCTCCTACACTCTGATTCACAGGTTCATCTTGCCACAACTCCAAAAGCATCAGATTGTGACCAACAAAACCCGGCTCCCC